CATATAAAGAGAGTTGGTCACATAAATCATTAATAAATACATTGGAAGAAATTAAGTCTCAACTCGTGATATCATCATTAGAGACACAATATAGGCAATAGGTGCCCTTACTTATTATATGCATGATCACCCCTCCCTTATATCCTCCTTATTCTTTTGACATGAAACTATGAGCTATAACTCAATGGGATAGTCTGTATTCCATGACTTTCCTAGCTTAAACACTTGTGAGGGGATTACTCAACAAGGCGCTCCCAACTCACTTATGAAAACACGGTTTTCCCAATTTCACACTATGGGGTGTACTAGCCTCCTCATTGAACCGGTGGATAGTTAGTTAGGTTTGAGTCCCTCGTTGAACTAGTGGGACAGTTTCTCATTGAATAAGTGGGACAATGTAGATATAATCAATCCGACAAACCATCTCATGGATGGGCCTTACCTTGTGGATTTTATCATCTACTCCTCTTCCTAGGTGAACTATCGCCTCTCAAAATCATGCAATGCACATTCATGTCATAATTCACACATATACAATTCATAGGACTTCACATTATCAAGTTTCATTGAACTTCATGATTACACAAAGATTCATGTTACTTTTCAATTTGTAAAATCATTGAACTCTTAATAAACATAATGCAAAAATCCACCGATAATGTTCTCAAAGAAATTTTACATCATAAGAAATAAAATTCACAAATTTGATCTAGTGAATTTTCTAACAAATCAAGCTACACTTACATTTCTTTTTAATTTACACATTTCAATGATTAATCATAAATCCATAAACTAATAAACACATAAAAACATAAGATAGAATTCCTCCGATTACCTCAAACCTTTAAAAGGTCAAAGGTTTCACCCCGTAATTACTCACTCTCAAAGCTTTCAAGAAGCTTGAATGGTGTCAATGGTAGTTACTCTACAAGCATTTACCATACAAAATATCAATATTCATATTTGAGCTATTTTTTACTAACACTTCATCATTTCTTAATACTCAAGATTTATTCTTAACTCATGTAAAAATACCCATAAGGCTTCTTAATTTTTTTTAACTCTCATTAATAACATTGAGCTCTTAAATGGGTATTAATGAAATCACATTGTTCCCAAACACCAAATTTATGAGAATTTTGAACATTTAATGTCCTCTAATCACCAATCATCATAAAACCATAATATTAAGTTTACTTAGCTTAATCTACTCCCATTAACTCTATTTAAATCAATAGGTTTAGACCCATAACTTTTATGGATTAAAAATCACCATTAACAATCAAACCCTAACCTCAACCATCAAAAAAATGGAAGAAGAGAGGAAGATTTAAGTAAGAAAGCTTACCTTTGATGTTTAGAAGCTTCAAAATAATCTCAATACTCAATTCTCCCAAGCCCTAGCACTACTCTCTCACTGCTCTTTCATTTCTCTTCATTTTTCTCTTCCTCTTCTCTCTTCCTTTCGCGCAGATACAAAGATGATATATCAAAATTTTAGCCGTGTGCCATGGTGCATGTTGCCCTCCGTCACAGCTCATGGCACAGAAGAGCCTGTTAGATTCAAATTTGCCTCTGTGCACCGCGGCGGACTGACCACGTGCCGTGGCATGTGGCATAGAAAGCAAATCTTCACTTTTTCTTCCTCTTTCTTTGCTTGGGTGGCCCATCATTTCCAGACATACTTTTAGGGCTGAATTCACAACAATTATACTAAGTTAAGCCCCTCTGGCCACACACCTCACTAATACACTTATTTAATCTATTTGAACTTAATTAATCTTAATTTAAAATTGAGGATGTTACAAAGTCAATCAATTATAATGATGTAAGTGACATTTATGATTAACTCATGTTCACATAATTTTAATAACACAGTTAATTTTGTCACAACACTATCAATCATATGATATGAATATCATAACATGCAATGGTCACAATACTAACAATAATGTGCTATTGTTATGCTATGCAATGCTACAAACAATAACAACCATGCGGCTATGATAATATGCATGATCAGTGCCATCCTTATATCCTCTTGATACATTCGACATGAAACCATGGGCTATTTCACTTAACGGGGGTTCGTCTATGTGTTTAAACTACCTAAACCTTCCAATTATGGAGCTGCTTGATCAAAGGTACTATACTCGCTAGTGGATCACGATTTTCCTAAAATCTCACATTATAAGATGCCATACCTCTAAGCTAGCTTCCTCATTAGACAAGTGAAAAATTGATAAGTTTAAATCCCTTATTGAACAAGTAGAACAGTCCCATATAGAACATGTGGGACAATATAAATTAAAGCCAAGACACCGAACTCCGAATGATGGCTGTGTCATATGAATTTAAAAGCCCTTACTCCTCTTCCTAAGAGAGTTCCTACCTTATATGATCATATAATACAACTCATGCTTAGTCATAGCATCTTCATTTACTCATCAAGTTCTTAGTATGCAAATTTTCAAGCACTGAATTCATATCAATCACAAATCTTAATCATCAATTTCTTATAAGTAATATTTACATATCATACTCATAGCATGTAACTCCTTATACAACAATCTCATCACATCATACTTGTCACTTTTCATAATCTTATACACTCTCAACATAATTTTCCACCATTTAATATTTTCACAATCATTAAATTACACATTCATTTCACTCACACATATCACAAAATCTATGTCAATTTTTCCACATCGCATCAAAACAAGTTTACAAACATCACATGATTTCAACAAGTCTTTTGAACATTTATAATCAATTAAATATTCAATTACACAAAAAAATTTCTTCCAATTACCTTAAACCCTTAAGAGATTAAATATTTTGCCTCTCAATATTAATTACTCTCAAAGCTCCACAAAGCTTGAATGGTGCCAAAAATGATTAATATATAATTAATCACATCAATATTCATTAATATCATTATTAATGAAATTACAACCCTTAATCAACACTTTGATTACTCAAAGTCCTAATCTCCTTGCATTTAAACATACCCATTGAGTATATTAACTCTCTTTAGCTCCCATTAGCTCTATTAAACTCTTAAACCATTATTAATGGGATTTAAACACCTTCAACCACCACATTTATTACTTATTTTTGGCCATTACTGACCCTCCAACCATCAAGGCGCATGAGAATACTAGGTTTAAATAACCTAAACAACTTCTATTGATTTTATTTAAGTTAATATGTTCAAACCCATAGCCTTGTAAGTTCGAAATCATCTTTCAATATCAAACCCTAGCTTGAAAATGTTGTAGAAAGGAAGAGGAGAGGTTAGGCAAACTTGCTATAGATGATAGGAAGTTCAAATCCCATACCAAGAGCCTAATATGTTGTGCCCTAACAAAGAAAATGTCTCTCATCGCCTTCTCTTCTATTTTCTCCTTCTGTTTCTCACTTTAGAACATGATCTCTTAAGTTTGATTTTTGGCCATGCATTGCAACGCATGCAGCATGTTCTGCAACATGTGGCACAAAGTTTGGCTTTGCATTTTTAGGATCCATACACTGTGTCATACGATGCCCATGCCGTCAAATGTGGCACAAAGATATTTTTTCTTGTTTATCTCCCTTTTTGATTTCTAAGTGACCCAACTCCATTTCAGACTCGAACTTGGGGCTGAAACTATAATCTAATACATTCATTAGCCCTCTTTGACTACTCACTACATTAATTTACTTAGTTATTCTTATTTAACTTTATTTATCAAGGGTTAATTTTCATGATATTACAAAACTCTTACCATCTCCAACTTCTATCAATTTTAACTTTTGCTTGTTAACATAAGTGTAACAGTCTTTTTTTTTTTTGAAATCCAATCTTATCAAAGCCATACATTTCTTTAGCCAAACAACTCCACATGTCTTTAGTTCTAATTCCAACACTAATCATAGATCGAATAAGGTTTCCCTTAACTGTAAGAATACTCCTAGCTGAATGCATCAAATGTCTATGCTCTTCTTTTGCAAATTCATGGTTATGCTCAGTGATTAACTCAATAATCTTCCACAAACCATATGATTTAATAGTAACATTAACCATGACTTGGCAATTTGTTCCTGCATATATTTAGCAAATGAACCATTGTTTATTCTCAATAATTTAGACCCTTCTTTTGAATAGACGTCATGTTTGGTATGAATCATGTTAGTTTGAGTAAAATAAATCTGTTTTGCTTTTTCTTATTGGAAAACCCAATTGACATGCATACTTAGAATATAAAGCATAAGCCTCTTATTTGCTATTCACAACTTGACCCAAGTAAATGTCTTTAACAAAAGAGTTATCTGAATCTTCAAAGCTTAAGCTACTCATATAATTTGTTTTTTTTTTTTCCATCCATGTTTGGGTTTGGTTGACTTGCTACTTGTAAATTATTGCATTTCTCCATTGTATAACATTAAATCTAATTAAAAACATATATATAACCTATAGCAATATGTCAACGTATATGCACTATCAAATCCCAAAATAAAATAAAAAATTATTTTTAAAAAAGCATGTCCAAAGATCAAGCAAATAAGCCTGTTCAAGAATAAATACCTATTTCTTTAATCAACACTGATGGAAGAATTCCTTGTGTTGCAACTGTTCCCTTCTCACTCTTTTACTAAATTAAATACGACAATGGTGGTTCTTGATAACTGCAACAATCAACACAACTATTATAATGTTTTATTAGTCCTTGTAATCTTTTTCTTCGCTTCACTTTGGAAATTCTTTGATTGGCAATGCAAATTGACGACAATTTCTTTTCTTCGACAGCTATGGAAAAGGGTTTTTGGGTTGAGAGAATT